CCTCAATGTGTGAAACGATTGCCATTGTTTAAGCTTCAGGGTCATGAGTGGTGAGGAAGTCTCAGGCGAAACGCCTGACCCGCCCTAAAAACTGGCTTTGGGGTGCGAGAGGGACAAATTATCTCTAAGGAAAAGGAATGGAGGAGGAGGAGGAGGAGAAGGAGGAGGAGGAAGAGGGAGGAGAAATAGCGATCAGAACATCCGGAGAAAGGGAGCAGATGGCCGAGAAGGGAGGAGGGAGGAGGAGGAGGAGGAGGAGGAGAAGAGGAAGGACGAGGGAGAGAACGAGAACGAGGACAAGAAGAACGACAGGAAGGAGGAGGAGGCGGCGGAGGGAGTTGGAGGAGGGGGGAGTGGGAGGAGGGGGAACGGTGAGGGAGGAGAGGGAGGGGTGGAGGGAGGGAGGGAGGGAGGGGGGGGGAAGGAGAAGGAGAAGGAGAAGGGGCCGAAGAAGCTGAAAGATCAGTCGAGGGAGCGCAAAAAATGAGGAGGCGGAAGGATGAGTCCTTAGTTGGTAGTGTCAACGCCCTTGGGTTTCCAACTGCTGCCTGGCACACGCCGCTGGCTGTGTGGTACTGTTCGCTCGCATCCGCCGTGCTCGCCTGACGTTGAGAGCACGGTCCTGCTCCTCTCCGTGCATTCTCCCGCGCGTCGTTTGCCGCGCTGCCCTGAACTCCTGCTGCTGCAGGTCCTCTTCCTCCGCCCCCACTCCTCAGCCTCATCATCCTCGGCATCATCACCACCACCACTACCACCATCATCATCAAACCACCATCATCATCCTCATATTCGATCTCGGATTCCCCCTCTGCCTCATTGATGTGCGCCGTTCGGCTTGCTGGTGAAGCTCATCCCCATTCTCCCCCTGTCCCCCGAATGCTTCCCAACACGCGTCGATGAATCCAATCATGTCCCCGGTAATGAAAATCCGGTTCGAGCAAATCCATATATATATACATGTATATAAATATATGTTACATACATACAACCTACATAATATATATATATATATATATATATATATATATATATATATGAGCATGCGACACCATCCGAACACGTCCGAGTATCAGACGAAAGCTCTGGTCCTCCTCCTCCTCCTCCTAACTCTTCGTCCTCATACTAGTGTAACCTTTTTTACTCCTCCTCGCCTTCCTTGAGGCTGAACATTGGCACCTTGGAGTCCTACGACTACTACAAGGACAGATTGAGGTGCAAGACGTTTGACTGGTACCTCAACCGGTTCAAGGACTACTACCTAGGCGCGCGGCGGAGCAGCAGCAGAATCTCGTTCGTCCTCGCCGTCCTCCTCCTCCTCCTCCTCCTCATACTCCTCCGCCTCTCCTGCCTCCTCCTCTGCCTCCTCCCCTCCTCTCCTCCTTCCTCTTCTCTTACACATTCCTCTTCATTCAGCTTACCTCTCCTGCCACTTTCTCGCCCCGCCCCTCTCCTCCTCCTCCTCATTCCTCCTCCTCCTCTCCCCTCCTCTCCTCCTCCTCTCTCCTCCTCCTCCTCCTCACCACCTCCCCCTCCTCCTCCTCCTCCTCCTCTCCCTTCCTCCTCCTCCTCCCCTCCTCCTCCTCCTCCTCCTCTCCTTCCTCCTTCCTTCCTACCTCTCTCCTCCTCCTCCCCCTCCTCTCCTCCTCCTCCTTTCCTCCTCCCCCTCCTCCTCTCCTCATCCTCATCCTCCTCCTCCTCCCCCCTTCTTCCTCCTCTCCTCCTCCTCTCCTCCTCCTCCTCCTCCTCCTCTCCTCTCCTCCTCTCATCCTCCTCCTCCTCCTCCCCTCCTCCTCCTCCTCCTCCTCCTCCTCCTCCTCCTCCTCCTCCTCCTCCCCCTCACCACCCGTCGTCGCCGCGGGAGGAGGGGGATCCTAAGACGTGGCGCTTCCTTTCGGGGTGGAATGTGTCCCCAGGTGGCTGGACTCCGGGGAGCCGCCACCGAGGAATCGGTTTCGAAGCCTGGCGCGCACAGCCTGGCGCCCAGCCCCGTTTGCATTCTCGGCGGCGAGCGAGGGGGGAAGGAGGAGGAGGAGGCGGAGGAGGAGGAGGAGGAGGAGGGAGGGGGAGGAGGAGGTGGGGGAGGTGGGGAAGGAGGAGGAGGAGGAGGAGGAGGAGGAGGCGAGGAGGAGGAGGAGGAGGAGGAGGAGGCGGAGGGAAGAGGAGGAGGAGGAGGTAGGTGGAGGAGGAGGTGTGAGGAGGAGGTGGAGGATGGTGGAGGAGGCGGTAGGAGAAGGAGGAGGAGGAGGAAGAGGAGGAGGAGGGAGGAGGAGCGAGGAGGAGGAGGGAGGTGGTTAACGGGTGAGAGTGGGGGGGAGGAGAAGGAGAAGGCCTTCTCAGAAGGGTGCGGAGCTCCCCAGAAGCCCCCACACATTCCGAGAAGTTGTTTTTCTGTCTTCGGGGAAGGCTCAGAGAACTTCTGAGAAGTCCGAGGGACCTCCGAGCCTTCTGAGAAGGTACGCCCCTTCTCACTTCCCCCCCTGGCTCGCCGCGTACAGTCAGCCCCGGGATGCAGACCCAGGGGAGGGCTCGGAAGTGATGGCGCAGCCACCTCCTACGTGGATCTGCGCAGTACCAAAAACGGGTCGCCGGCAAGTGGGTGGCCGGGGGGCGCTCGCTGCTCAGCAGAGCGGCTTCTGCGGCCACGGCAGGCGGCCCACAGCATTCGAGCTTCGGGCAGACACCGCCGCCCCACCACTTTGGATCCTGGAGACTCTGTGGGAGCGGCGGCCGCCCCGCGCGCCCGACTAGGAGACGTTCTGGTGCTGGTGCTGGTGCTTCCGCCTCGGAGGCCTCGTGGGGCGCTATGGAAAAGACATTGGGCTCCTCAGCGAGCTCTCTGTCGTACATGACCCTGAGCCCAGGACGGCCGCTGAGAGGCTGGAGGAACTGAAAGCAGCAAGCTCTGTGTCGTATGACCCTGAGGCCAGGACGGCCGCAGAGAGGCTGGAGGAACTGAAAAAACGTCGGGCTCGTCCCAGAAAGCGCGCCGAGTAGTGTCTTTCACATGACCCTGAGGCTAGGACGGCTGCAGAGAGGCTGGAGAAGCTCAACAAAACCGTCGGGTTCGCCCCAGGGGGTCCCCTGGAGGGGCCCAAGGAGCCAGAATGGGTCAAGTGCGGCGACTTGGGGTGAAAGATGAAAGCAGGAAGGGACAAAAAACAGCCCAGGTTTGTTTGCGGCTCCTGGATGAGCCCCTCGAGGCTCTGAGGGGGCGCCCCAGATAGGCGAAATGCGGTGCCGATCTTCGGGTGATTGAATCACTTTGCTCATTCCGCCGGCCCATCTTGCATCACTGGTGCTATATGTTTGTGTGTTCGTGGCGAGCGAAAAGGAGGAGGAGGACGAGGAGGAGGAGGAAGAGGGAATGAAGAAGGAAGGGTTGGTGAGACGATACGACGATACGGGGCCTCTCGGGGGCCTCTTGGCGGTATTTTCTGGACCTCCTGGGGCGTTACGGGGGCCTATTGGGGGCTTCTTGGGGGTCTCTTGGTGCCTCTCGGGGGCCTCTTGGGGGCTTCCTGGGGCTCTTGGGGCCTCCAGGGGACCTGTCGGCGCCTAGAGCTCGAAGTGTCCGTTCGGGTCACTGCCTGGGCCCGCTCTTGGAGCCGTCTTGGGAGCCTCTTCGGCCATCTTGGCGGCTTCTGGGGCTGTCTTGGGGCCCTCTGGGGACGTTTTGGGGCACTCTTGGAGGCTTCTTGGGTCGTGTTGGGGTGATCCTGGACGCCTCTTGGGCCGTCTGACAGCCCCGGTAAGCCGAAAAGGCGAGAACGCCCAAAACCTGCAAAAGCCGAAAGGGAAATCACCTTATGTTCTGCACCTTGGGCTGTCTGGAGGCCATCTTTGGCGTCTTGGATCGCTCTTGGGCCGTCTCGGACCATGTTGAGCTCTCTTGGAGTCCACTTGAAGCGCTCCTGGAGCCCTCTTGGGAGCCTGTCGGGACCTTGCCAGGGTATTTTCCGTCCGGAGACCCCCAGGGGCGGCCCCGCGCGCGCGAATCAGAACTATTGATATTCAGTTGCCGGAGATCTTAGCACGCCCTTGGCCCGTTGGGCTGGCGAATTTAGTTGCTTAGTGAGAGCCAGTGGATTGGGACATCGACGACGTCGAGCAATCTAGGATCGCGAAGATTGGGAGAGAGGGCAGGATGCGCAACTCATGCAAGACGGACAGGTGATTTGGATGCGGGGGAAGGGGAGGCGGGGGGGGAACATGATGCGCGCAGATGGCGAACGGGAGGATGGGCAAGCTGCGCAAGGCGGAGAGGGGAAAGGTGAGGCGGAGGGTTGTGGGTAGGGTTGCCTCTGCTGGGAGGGGAACGGTAACGGGTCGATGCAAGGGCTGGCTAGGAAACGTGGGGCACGGGAGCATCAGCATAGCATCGGCATGAAGCACAGAAGTCAGCAGCGGTTCTGGGGGATGCCAGCCCATCCTCGGAACATTTGTTTGGCGCCGAATGTCGTGACATTGTCGTTGCTCGAGTCATGGTCTTTGCGTTGGGCAAATATATGCCCAGACACTTTTACGCAAATTCCCGTCGGGGCTTGTGAAGCCTGACGGCACAACTGCCTGGACACTATTACAGACATTTGAGTTTGGGCCCCATCACCCGGCACCACCAACAAGGGCCGGTGCACCCAGCTCTTGGCACCACCAACAAACCTAAGATATCAAGATATCCGTTGCGGGCTTGGGCCAGGCGGCGATTGGACAGACTCGGTCAGTACATTCATTGTTCGCTGAACGTCTTCCCAGATCTTCTACTGGGAGGGCCAGGGCAATAGAGGAGGGGTGGAGAAAAGTCCAGAGAATCCCAACCTCCGTATCACCCCTGACTCCAGACCCTTTGTCCGCCTCCAACGAACGACCTGGAGACCGTGGTCGACGGGATAAGATACAGAGAGGGCAGGATATGCAAGTTGTGCAAAGTGTACTCCGATGGTAAAGATGATGTGGAGCGCAGGAAGGCATAACTCGGGCAAGGTCGGGTCGGGGAAGTCCGTAGCCATTCTGACTCGAGCGATCCCCCAGTGACCTCGCAGCCCAGGCACGGTTGCCCGCGGCGCCCCCGCCTCAAAACCATGCGCCACGGCGGAGCCCTCGGCTCAGGCTACGGCGGCGGCGGCGCGCTTGGCGCCCGCGGCGCCTGTGGCGGCGGCGCCTACGGCGGTGGCGCGTACGGCAGCGGCGGTGGCGCGCTCGGCACGCTCGGCGCCGGCAGCGGCGCGTACGGCGGCCCGCTGCCCGCTCGGCTACGGCGCCGGGCACGCGGGCGGCGGTGCGCTCGGCCACGGCGCAGGGTACGGGCAGGCGGATTGCTGCACGGCCACCGCCGTCTCCTGCTGCGGTGCTGGCCCAGGCGGTGCCGCGGGCGACGCCTGCGGCGGTGGCGGCGGGACAATCCTGTCGTACGGGGGGCCCGGCCGGGGGCGATTACGTCCAGGAGACGACCTACAGGTACGTGGGGGCCGGCGCTGGCGAGTTCGGCGTCCTCCGCATCCCCCGCGCGGGGCCCAATTGCTGCTGCATGGTGGTCCCGCTGCTGCTGGTTCCCCTGCTGCTGCTCCCGCTGCTCCTGCTCTCCCTCGCCCCGGGGAGCACCACGACCACGACCACGACGACTGCAATGACGACCTTCCCGCCGTTGCCCGACCGACCGACCCCTCCGCCAGATGTGCCGACGACGACGACCGAGAAGACGACGACGGCCAGGCCGCCTCCGCCGCCGCCGCCCCCGCCGCCCCCGCCCCCGCCGCCCCCGCCGCCCCCGCCGACGACCACCCAGAAGAGGACCAATTGTGCCGAGGGTGCCCCGGAGTCATGGGACGTGGCCAAGAAAGTGCAGTGCTGCCTGATGGAGAACAAGGGGTGCCCGACCACGTCCACCTCGCCCTGCCCCATCGACTGTAACGCCGGCTACAATGACCTCGACCCGCTGCAGTGGGTGCGCGGGTGGTCCGGCCAGAAGAAGTTGTATTGCTGCAAGACGGCGAACAGGGGCTGTCCCTCGGAGCTGATGGGCTTGCTTTCCTCCACCACCACCACCATAAGTTGGATGGGGGAAGGAGGAGGAGGAGGAGGAGGAGGAGGAGGAGGAGGAGGAGGACGAGGAGGACGAGGAGGAGGAGGAGGAGGAGGAGGACGAGGAGGAGTGGGAGGAGGAGGAGGAGGAGGAGGAGGAGGAGGAGGAGGAGGACCCCCTCCCCCTCCAATGTATGGTGGTGGTGGTGGTGGTGGTGGTGGTGGTGGTGGTGGTGGTGGTGGCGGTGGCGGTGGTGGTGGTGGTGGAAAACAAGCCCTTCAGGAGCTGCCGCCCCCGTCGGGCGCGCCGCCGTCGGGCCTGCCGCCCGCGCCCGACACGAGCGTCTACGACTGCGACGCGGGATACCACCACTGCATGCACTGCCTGGAGCTGTCGTGGTCCCCCCAGAAGATCAACTATTGCTGCACGAACTTTAAAAAAAAACAACTATTGCTGCACGAACTTCCACAAGGGGTGCAGGGGCGAGGAGCCGGCGCGAGAAAGCCGCAGGGTCTAAGAGGGCCGCGCCGTGAGTGGCCGCGGGGGGATCGAAGAGGAGAGCGAGATGAGTAAGAGGAGTGGGGTGCAGAGGAGAAGAAACAGGAGGGATGGCCTAGGCTTGGGAGTTCGCAAGCGGGTGTCAAGTTCTTGCCAGCACCCGTGTCGCTGCTAAGGTATCAGTTTTTTGTTGTTGCAGCTCTCCGTGGCAAAGATACTGGAGAGCGCAGAAATCCGGATCACGCTCGTGATCACCAACATGACAAATTGTACGTACAGATCCCCTCATCATCCATCGTCCAGATCCTCAAAGCCCTCGCTCTTTCGCTGCCCCTTCCAGTATAGCAAGAATGCGAGACTACGAACGAATGCGCAAATAGTTGAATTAATTGCTGAATTGACAGATGTGGAGTGGGATTTCATAATGTTCAGCGAGACCAGGGCGACATCAACAGAACTTACATTAGAAGGTGGGCATACATTGCTTTTACATTTGGATGGTTATGCTGCTGCGGGCGTTGGCGTCTTGGTGCACGAACGCCACGCTCATAATATTCGCCGGGTATGTGCTGAGGCTGGCCGCATGATCGGGTTAGACATAGTATTGGGGAGAAGCACATACACATTTATTTCCACTTATGTTCCTCATGCTGGTTTTTCTCTGGATGAGTTCACCGAGTTCTACGACCGGCTTGATAACATGGTACGGGCGGCCCAGAGGAGAAGAAGTCAGGTAGTTATTGGCGGCGATTGGAATACTCAGTGCAATATCGGCCCAAGGGGGCAAAGATTGAACGAATTCGTAGCGTGCCATGGTTTTCAATTAGCAAACTTTCCGCCCAGCCTGACCCACGCAGACGCGTGGACATTCCGATCGAGTCTTGGACACACAAGGTGCATCGACTTCATCTTAGTGCCTGGCTCCATACAGGTGGTGAACAGTAGAGCGGTTGATCTCTTAAGCTTGGGATCGGATCACAGGGCTGTACTTGCACACTTGACTATGAGAATCCGTACTCGGAAGCGCCAGCAGAAGTGGAATCATCGAGGTTGGCAACCGCGTGATGATGCGGATTATGGTCATGATTTGGACGCTCACTTGCAAGACAGTCCGCCAGGTAATCTGTCCGACTTGGACGCGTGCTTGGCCGCCATTGCACCGGGACGCGCCCAACAGCAGGAAGAGCAAACATGTTTCTGGAATCATACTGCTTTCCAGGAGCTGTTGCGTCAACGTCGAGCTCCCCCACACGGGTCCGCAGCCAGACGGGACATGTCCAAACGTATTCGCAGAACTGTGCGTGCAGAGTTGGGGAGAAGAAAAGCGAGGCGCACCGAACAGATCCTCGGCGAGTTCTGCGATCTACATCGGCTCGCTGCAACCAAGTTCTTTCCAGCCCAAAGGAAGAAGGACGTAGTCGATGCACAATGTCCTCCTGAATCTTTGGCGGGCTTCCTGGAGAACATATTCTCGTCTACAGCGGTGCCGCCGCCGGAGATGACGGACCAACGCGCGTTTACCAACATTCCCCAATTTACCAAGATGGAGCTTACAAAAGCGATCCGGTCTTTGAACAATAAGAAGGGCGCCGACACGGATGGCATCGTCGCCGAGATGTTCAAGCACGCCCCCGATACATTTACCGATTGGTTATTGTTTTTCTACAACCAGGTGCTGCTTACGGGCGAAGTGGAAGATTCTTGGAAAGACACGGCGTTTGCAATGCTCCCTAAGTCTGGGGATTTGGCACAGCCGAAAAACTGGAGACCGATAGCCATTCTCAAGACAACTTACAAAATATTATCCCGCATGCTGTACCATCGCTTGCGCGACGTCCTCGAACACGCGCAAGGGCCGGACCAAGTAGGCTTCAGGCCGAACCACTCGGTCGATGACGCGTTCCTGGTCTTCGAAGTGGCATGCAGCAAATGCATAGAATGGCAAGTGCCGGTGTGGTGCGCCAGTTTGGATTTGACCAAAGCATTTGATCGGATTGAGCACGGCCCTCTCTTTAATGCCCTCCGGCGCCAAGGCCTTGATGAAGACTACATTGCCTTGCTGGCGAGGCTGTATTCTGGACAGATGGGCAGCGCGTCGGGCGCGCAAGCTTTTCGTATCCAGCGGGGGGTCAAGCAAGGCGACGTCATCAGCCCGATGCTGTTCAACGCTGGTTTGGAGTTGGCAATGGAGAGATGGAAAATCCGTATTGGTCACGCCGGGCTGTTCATAGGAGCGGGCGAAAAACTCACGAACATACGTTACGCTGATGACATCATGTTGTACGCGAGTTCTGCCGACGAGCTGGCCGCCATGCTGGAAATTCTTATTGAGGAGCTTGACACAGTTGGTCTCCAGCTAAATCCGGAGAAGACAAAGGTTCTTACCACGGAGGAGGGGATGGAGACTATGTTCATTGAGATTGGCGAGCACGTCCTGAAAGTCATGGGAGGCAGAGATGTCCACAAGTATTTGGGAAAAAAGTATACCCGGGAGTTTGAAACATCGTAACGATATCGAGTTGGGTCGACGATTCCAGCGAGCTTGGCACAAATTTCATGAACACCGTCATGTTCTCACAGACCAGAACGTATCCGTAAGACTGCGGCTGAAGCTTTTCCAATCAGTCATTGCACCTACATTGTTGTTCGGACTATCGGCTGCGGCCCTGACCAAGCATCAAACGCAATCCCTGGACGTCCTTCAGAATAAGATGCTTCGCTTGGTTGTTGGTTGGAGGCGTTGCGAGGGCGAGGACTGGGCAGACACCATGAGACGCATGAGGGACAGAATCGCCAATACAATGCAGATCTTTCCGATTGAAAAATGGAGTGAATTGCATTACCGCCGCCTGTTCAGATTCGCGCGCAGGTCAGCATGCTCGGACACGGAATGGACTCAGAAAGTCATAGTATGGAACCCGCGCTACACGCATGGGGCTACGAGGGCGCGCGGGCGTCCTCCGACGAGATGGGATGACCGCCTCCAAGGATTCGCCCGCGATGTCTTGCATAATGCATCTCGCTGGTATGACAGTGTACACGATGGTGACGAGGACGCATTCGTCGAGCATTGCATTCACGCGTGAGGACCGCCCCCGTTCTTTTCTTTCCTCCCCCCTCCCCCCTCGGAGGCACAACGTTTGCTCTCCGTTTACGCACGTGTGCGCTCAGGCCACTGTGCTGGAGCCTCGCCCGTCTACGGGCCAACCCATGTGGTTTGACTGGGCGGGGGGGCCTCTTCCTCTGTCTTTCTGTCGGTCACTAGCCCTGTCTCGATGAGCCCAGCCCAGCAGGTGTGAAGTGCTCGGTTGGTGTTGGCGCTGCCGACCCCTGCGGCGCACTGGGCAGGCTCGGGGTTGACGGCTCTTCGAGCGGGGGGGAGGGGGAGGGAACTTGTGGGGTGTTGTGTGTTTCGGGTGTGGTATGGGCGGGGCTGGGAAAGTGGTTACGATTTTTTTTGTTTTTGTGTTTTTTGGGTATATATTGTCGTTTAGATCAAACCAGCTTATGGGGCTGGGGGTTTAGGTCCTTGTCTTCTTCGTTGTGCGTTGGTCGACGTCTTGTTCTCTCCCCCCCCCCTCCCTTGCTCCCCGCCGCGTTTGGGTTGGAGTTGTTCTTCTTTGTGACGCTTTTTTTTCTTTCTTATGTTTTAATTCTTTCGATTTCACCCCCCCCCCCCCCCCCCCCCCCCTTAATTGGTTCCTGACGTTGTCGTTTTTCTTCCCTCGAGACGGCTTTCCGCGACAATCGCGACGTCGTCTCAGACGGTTGATCGTGCCGAAGTATGTTGCCAGCAACCAGAAAGAGAAAGGTCGGGTCGCGGAAGAGGCACTTCAGCCACGCGCAGAGGGGGGTGGGGGGAGGGGGGAGGGCTTCTCATGAGCACCCTTGTTTCTTAGAAGGCGCGGGCCTTATCTATAGATGTGAGGCCAGCGCCTCCTAAGAAGCAGCCTCCTTCTAAGACGCCCTCCCCCCTCCCTCCACCCCATCGTGCGCGCCCCTAAGCACTGGAGCATGGCAATGTGGCGCAAATGCGGCGACGACCGCTCGTGTTTCAGGAGGGGGAAAAACACACAGACACAAGTAATCGTCGATCCCCAGGAGAATATCGGAAAATAGGCGAAGTGGTGAGGAAGACAAAACACCCAGAAACTACAAGAACATTTAGGGGAATCTTGGTATTTGTGTGTACTTTTTCGTGTGCCCTTGGGCCACTTCAGTGCCTTGGCGTGCTCGGCAGCGGGGCTTCAAAAGGTCGCTCTGAGGGCCGCGGGTGCGAGCGGCGCGAGGCGGCGTCAAATGACAGGGGTGCCGGGGGGGAGGAGGAGGAGGAGGAGGAGGAGGAGGAGGAGGAGGAGGAGGAGGAGGAGGAGGAGGAGGGGAGAAGGAGGGAGTAGGAGGAAGGAGGAGGAGTGAGTAGTCAGAGGAGGAGGACGCGAGGAGGAGCAGGCGCAGGAGAGGATTGGAGGTGGGAGGAAGGAGGAGGAGGAGTGGGGGAAGGAGGAGAGGAGGAGGAAGAGGTGGAAGGAGGGAGGAGGAGGAGGAGGAGGAGGAGGAGGAGGAGGGAGGGGATGGGGAGGAGGAGGAGGAGGAGGAGGAGGTGGAGGAGGAGGAGGAGAGAGACGGAAAATGAGAGAAGGGAGGAGGAGGAGGGGAGGAGGAGGAGGCCCCCCACGGAGCCCCCCCCCCCCCCCCCCCAGCCGAGGGGAGGAGGAGGAGGAGGACGGAGGAGGAGGAGGAGGAGGAGGAGGAGGAGGAGGGGAGGGTGGCTGGGGGCAGCGAGGGGAGGGGATGGATGCGGGGGGAGGGGAGGAGGGGCAGACGCTGTGCTGGAGAGTGGCGATCGGAGGGCAGCACACCCCCACATAGCCAGCCTTGTGATGCTCCGGCCTGCTCTCTCAGCCTTGGCCACCAGAGAGAGTGTCGAGCAAGGCCCGGAACTGGAGGGCCTTCACGTGCCGGGCCCTGGGAGGCGATATTCGTTCGACATTGTTTCGATATTTGTCGGGGTGCTCGAAGTTCTGGGATGTGGTCCTTGAGTACGATGGGAACGACATAAAGCCTGGGGACGGCCCACTCGAACATGTATCGGGATGGGGGTGCCTGCATGCCCACAAAGATTTGCTCTAATCTGACCGTGGAGACACAAGAGCTGTTCCCAGGAAGGGGAACTTGCTTTCGCACAACGCGGAGGGTAACAGGTGAGGGAATATGCGTCACAAGTGCAACCGTCTCCTGCGGCTGGTTGATTCTTAGGCTTACGCCACACCGCCGACCCCTTGTTTATGCCAATCTGGGGGTAGTAGAAGCTGCGAAGGGGTGAAAAGGCGAGTGATATTTGTTTGGTGTCTGTTCGCCGCCACCGCCAGAGGGTCTCGGGCAGTTCCGCGGGGAGGTCCGAGCGGACAGCGACACTGC